GTTAGCTTTAGTTAGCTGTAGTTAGCTTTAGTTAGCTTTAGTTAACTGTGGTTAGCTTTAGTTAGCTTTAGTTAGCTGTGGTTAGCTTTAGTTAGCCATCACACAGAGACGTGAACATCAACATGCTCCTCCTCCTGCTGCTGCTGCACCTCTGATGGTTGTGTGTCTCCAGAGACCGGCGGAGTGTGTATCGCCCCGCGACCCGCCCCGGACGGAGCCGCCATCCTGCCAGCAATGGCCATGAGGCCCTTCTTTGGGATCCAGCCGGTTCTGATGGGAGAACAGGTGAGTAGAACCCTGAGACAAACTGAACCAGAACTTGGTTCTGGCTGGTTGTGTTGGTTCTGCTGATTACTGGTTGACGACTGACTGATTCCAGATTCAAAGAGCTTTATTGTCATTTCCAGCACTTCCAGCTGTTCCAGATCCAGAGATAAGGTGCAAAGAATGCAGTGCAACAAGATCTGATCCATAAAAATAAAATAAGACAAAAAAAATTCACAAAAATAAAACATAGGATAAAGTAAAAAATAGAAATACAAATATGGAAACAGTAGTGCAATACAACACAATGGAGGGTGTGTGTGTGTGTGTGTGTGTGTGTGTGTGTGTTCGTCCAGTCCTTGAATGTCTTATGAGGGATGAAGCTGTTGCACAGTCGGGCCGTGTGGGCCCGCATGCTTCTGAACCTCCTGCCGGATAGCAGGAGTACAGAGTGTGTGTGAAGGGTGTGTGTGACCTTCACCATGCTGGTGGCTTTTGGGTGCAGCGGGTGGTGTAGATGTCCTTGATGGAGGGGAGAGACACTCCACTCCATGGTTTTCCTGCTGGTCTCACTACCCTCTGGAGGACCTTGTAGTCTGAGACAGTGCAGTTTCCAAACCAGGTGGTGATGCAGCTGCTCAGGAAGCTCTCAGTGGTCCCTCTGTAGAATACTGTCAGTATGGGGGGTGGGAGGTGGGCTTTCCTCAGCCTCCGCAGGAAGTGGAGGCGCTGCTGGGCTTTCTTTGCTATGGAGCTGGTGTGGAGGGACCAAGTGAGGGCCTCCACCAGGTGGACACCAAGGACAAGGTGCTCTGGACCATCTCCACAGTGGAGCCATCGATGGTCAGATGAGCTGCTCCCTTTGTGCTCCCTGCCAGGTGAAGGCCGGTGGAGGGCCAGGTGAAGGCCGGTGGAGGGCCAGTTGAAGGCCGGTGGAGGGCCAGGTGAAGGCCGGTGGAGGGCCAGGTGGAGGGCCAGGTGAAGGCCGGTGGAGGGCCAGGTGGAGGGCCAGGTGAAGGGCCAGGTG